TCTCTAGGAACTTAGAGGATGCGGAGGTAGGGGTAGAGGACGCAGGGGAGCAGCGGGTGGGCGAGCGGAGATCAGAGCAGCGCGAATTCCACCTGCCACCTACTGACGCTCTTTGGGGTCCTGGGGACACCGCTTGAACCCCAACCGAGCTCTAGGGGGTGGGGAAGGCAGCAAGCCGCTGCCTGGAGTCGCGGGGAGAGGTCTTGTGCGGGCGCGGGAGGGTGAGGAGGGGTGGGGTTGGGAGAAGAGATCGTCAGGAGGACGCAAGTGTTAGGACCAGAGGCCTAGAACCCAAGAACCTTCTAAGATGGAACTACGTGTGTCTCCCGTTAGGGCCCTGTCCTGCTTTCCCTGACTGTTAAGGCCACCTTCTAATATACGCGCACAAATCCCGTCCGCCTTGCTCTTCTCTACCCACCCAAGGCTAACGGCAATAGATACAGAACCAACGACTTTGGAAACGCCATGGAGCTTGCTGGTGAGGGTCACAGCACCTTGAACACTCAAAAATGTAAGGAAGAAAATATCATTCCCCCAACCTCCCATCCAGAGGAAATAACTAAATTCCATTATATAGTGAGAGGGAGAGAGAGAGTGCCCATAAGACAGCAAACGTGCGTGTGTATGCTAGAGAAAAAAAAGGTTATGTACAGCTTTGAATCTTAACTTTTAAAAACTCACCTAATTTCATGATTTTAATATTCTACTAAATATTCTTCAATATTCTTCAATATTCAATAAATCATGTGACATGATTTAAAATTTTGCTGCTAGAATTTTAGGCGACCTTCAATTTCTTGCTACTATTTATCCATCTCTGTCGATTTTTATTAGAATCTTTCTTCCCTGAGGGTGATTCCTAGATATAGAATTTCTGAAATGCATATATGAGTCTTTTTAGAGTTCTTGGGGCCTTCATTTGGCCTAGCTACTTGGGACGCTCACATTGCATATTGGACCACCTGGCTTGGGGTCCTGCATCCAGTTTCCACACCCTGGGAGTCAGCTCAAGTAGTTGGGTCCCTGCCACTCACTAGAAGACCCTGAATGAGTTCTGAGCTTCCAGTTTTAGTGTTATTCCAGCCCCTGCTGTTGTAGGCATTTGAGGAGTAAAATACTGGATAGGAAATCTCTGTTTCCTTTTCAAGTAAAAAATTAATAACAATCCAAAAGCTTTTGATACATACTACAAAACTTTTTCTTGCCTATGGAGATTTCCAGAAAGTGCATTAATTTCATCAGGCAATAAAGATAATATTAGTGATTAGGTATGTGAGAATCAGAATTTAGAGAACCATACTTTTTTAAAAAAATGCATGTTCAATATTATAAGTTTGTGTTTAGAAAGAGAAACCATACTCATTGCTTACATAATTTAAACTTCAGAAATGAAGGACCAAAATACTCTGAGATTGGGTTTTGTGGCAAGAGTCTACAGTGTTTTAGCATGGAGTTTCAGTTTTAGTTCGGCCTAGGTGTTTTAGTATAGAAGACTAATAAGATTTTCATGTATCTCAAAAAGTATTAAAGATTTTAAAAGAGTAAAAGATGTTCAGCTTTGCTATAAGAATATTTTTTGAAATGATCTGTACTACTTTACTAACAGGAATCATTCACATTAGGAAAACTAAACTGGTAACAGTAGCTACCAGTGATGAACTAACATGTAATAGCAGGTCTGTGAAACATTACAGACACTGAGAGCAACAGGCCATGATATTGTTGCCTTAGGATGACAATGATCTTTTTTTAAATTCAATAGTCCTTAAAGAAGCAAAGTGAATATTAAATATTGATCTCTGAAATGCCTAATGTTCATTTAGAACACAATACAAATTAGGGAGTATATTCATTGGGAATGCTTATTTATGCCAACTGCACACTACTTAAAACCTCAAGATGACTCTGCTATAAAATGTATGGTAAAACACTAAAAGCTCCCAATAGATACAAATAAATGCACATTTATCTTCATAATGAAACTATGACTACTTGTAAGCACACCAAGGCAAAAGGTTACAGATCAATAGCATAATTCATCAGGTATATGTGGATAAGAAACTAGTAATATAGAATTTCATTATATATACTATAAATCCCATAAAAATAAAGGCATAATGATTATTTTTGAAGAAATTTAGAAAATGTTAAAGTAATATCTTACATATTTGTATTGACTTTAAATACAAAATTCATACAAGTAATTTTTTTGCTCTTGCACCTCAAGAAACTGCATGAGTCCCAATGCAATTAGCATTCATATATATTCTTAAATGCATATAACCACAGGACTAATATATAAATGTGAAATTTATGATTACATAGCATTATAATTACCACTGCCAGATGTTTATATTGTACGTGTATAATTTCACATACTAAGCTGGAAATTGCACATATTTTCAAGGCATGGTCTGTTCTATTCAAACAGTGTGTTTTATCATCAGATGCTTGCTGAAAATCAGGCCTTTCATATAATGAATACGCTTTTAAATAACTTCACACATAATTCCTGAAAATTGATTTATACCTAAATAAAAATGAATGACTGCTTTCAACATGCCTGTCATTTTTATATTAATATTTTATATCACAAATATATTCAAAGTGAATATACTCCCTAATCATAATATTGTTTCATATTCCTGAAATAGAAAATACAGGATTTTAGTATTTACATTCCTACCTATTTTTTACTTTGTTACTATAGATTTCTATAAGCAACTTTGTAATATAAGTAATTTTATATAGGGAATAATATTAACTATAGAAATAAGACAACTATTATAAAGAGAGGAATATTAACCACTAAATTCAAGCACATGTTTCAAAATGGCTAAGCGTTTGCTGATAAGCCACTGTTAGAAAATAAAGCAGGGTCTTGTTGATGTTTTAAAATAAACTAAAATGAGATCTAGCAAGCCTTAAAATCTCTGGTTTGATTTTTTAAAAAGTGAGCTTTCATAGCAATATGAAGAAATGCACATTTATGCTATTCATTGTTAGATTTTTTGCTAACAGAAATTGAGGCATCAAAAACGCTGATAGTTTTCCACTTTCACGTCAAAAAGCCAATCAACCTCGTAGTAGTAAAGAAGCTCCCTCTCTGTCTCTTTACAGGCCTTTGCTTTATTGAAGCTATAAACTCCGGGGAAAGCCATGCCACCAGGAAGGTCACAAGAAATGGCGCCTCGCTAAATTATTTTTAGACTTATTATCCAAGTTTTAATTTAGCATTCAGCATATTGTGACTAGATCGTTTTCCCCAGTGTCTCTGGTCGTAGGAAATTACACTGTGTGCAAAGATTCATCCCACTTGAGGATAAAACTACTTCGGATTCTGTTTTTTAAGAAGTAGGCCTCATTTTTAAAAATTGTGTTAATTGTGGTCAGAGATGAAGAAAACAGGCTGAAATGTGATTCCTCGGGGACCTCACTGCACCTCTCTCGTCTGCTAAACACAGGAGCAAGGTCCCGAGGACTTTCTGTCGCCCAGGCCGACGAGACAGCCACTTTTTCCTGACCACGTAAGCGCACCTCTGCTGGCTGCAAGATCCCCGACAGCACGTGTTTGCTCCAGGGGCAGTTACTGATCCTTCGATCAGGAAGTCGAACTGCGCGGGCTCCCACTCCCGCGTGTCCTCTGCTCTCCTAGAAGGAGGGAGGGGTGCCCGAGCTCGGAGGCCCGGGAGAGGGAGGAACCAAAAAAAAAAGGCGGCCTCCAGAAAACAAAGACCGTTAGCCTAAATTCCCCCCAGGGCGAAAGGCAGTGTGCCGAAAATACACCTTGCCCACGAGGTGTGCGTGTGTGTGCGGTCTGCTGACTCCCACCCAGGAAATTCACGGTCCCTGACTTCTAGGGTGGGCTGAGCAGCTCTCCGTGGCCCTCCGAGTTTCACAGCACCAAGCAAGGGTGTGAAGAGGGCTCGGGGCGCAAGGTTTCGGGAGAGTCGCATCTCTAAGCCACTGGAACCCGACCGGGGGAAACAGCGTCCATCCCCCGCCCCCGTAACCTCCTCCTCCTCCTCGCCTCGCCAGGACCATGACTTATCTGTGTATTAAATCACGCCAAACGCAATCAGCCGAGCGCCACAGCGCCCGGGATTTTCGGAGGGCCTTTCCTACCTGGTCTTCTAGGTTGCGGCTGCTGCCCTCGGCGCTGGCTCCTCACTAGCATCAGCACGAGGGCCGCATCGGCCCGCACGCTCCGCGCCGCCCACTCACCCGCAGGCCGCGCGATCTGCACCACGAAAGCCCTCACTCGAGGCGGGCCGCACGCGTGCCGAATGCGGACGGTCACCAAGAACCTGCGCACCATGTTCTGGCCTCCACCACCGTTGAGCTCCGCAGCCGCTGCGCCGCCCTTTGGCACCGGAGGTGAGCAGCACCGCCCCGGCCCCCCGACTGCAGACTCAGACCCGCGCGCCGCCCCCAACCCATCTCCGCCCCGAAGGCGCGCACTCGCGTCCCTGCGCGCGCCCGGCCCCCTCCTCCTCTCCACCTTCCAAGGGCTCGGGACCGTTCAGTGTCCGGCGCGCGCGGGAAAGGCTGTCGCGGGCGCCCGGAGGGAGGCGCGCGCTGGGGTGCTCGCGCCCTGGGCTCCTCTGCCTCCCGCCTACCGCTTCTTTCCCGCCCTATCCGCGCCCCCACCCCCCGCCCCGCCACCTTCCCACCCTCAGCGCGGGCGCCCCACGCGGTGACAGCCCGAGCGCCTGCAGCCAGAACGCATCCCCGGGCAGCCCGCCCCCCTCGCAACATCCGTCACCTGACGCGGCCTACCAGGAACAGCCGCGCTCCCGCGGCTCGGGTCCCGCTAGCCTCCCCGCTCCCGGCCCGCGCCTCTGTCCGCGGCCTTTATTCCTCACGCCCTACGTCCGGAGTCTGTCTTCTGTTTTCTGCAACACCGGATTACTTAAAAGAGCAAAGGAAAGAGAGACGAGCAAGGTCCTCTCATGGCTGTGTCCGCCAATCAGGAGGCTGAGTGTCAGTTTTGAAAGAAAATGCCGCTCCGCTCCGGTTCTAGGTTTGGGAAGCCAGCGACATTGAACCGAACCGCTGCGCGCTGCCGGCTGCGGTCTCTGGGCGCCGCTGGAGTTGGGGCCGGCGCCGGACCAGGTAGGCGGAGCGGAGACCCCGCGGGCCCAATCGGTGCGCGCACCCCTGCCGGGACCCGCTGTCGCGTCGCCCGCCCGGGGCGAGGGGCGCCGGGCTGGAGCTCGAACCCAGTCCGCTTCTTCGGGGGCTGTTTTATTTTCGGTTTTGACTTCAAGATGCGGCGGAGCATCTGAGCGCTTCTTCCTCTTTCCTCCTCCGGCCGCGGCCCCTCCCCCCACCCCACCCGGGGCCGCTCCCGGGCGCCCGGCGCGGCGCGGTTCTGGGTCCTTCAGCTGGGTCCGCTGCTTCCCCCTCAGCGCCCGGCCTGCGACACCCGCGGCTCCCGCTGCCTGTCCCCGCGGCGCCGTCCCTCCCTCTTCTCCCCGCCCCCGCCCTCTGCCCCCTGTTTCCTTCCACATCACTGATCCTTTCTTTCTAGACACACTGCCCTGCTCCTCCCCGCCGCGGTCCTCTCGGAGCAGGAAAAGCCGGGGAAGGAAAGGAAGGCGCGGCGGGGAGCGGGGGTGAGGCGAGGACGCGGAGGCGGCCGAGGACACGGAGAGCCGGGTCCCAGGGCGCACTCTGGCGAATCGGCTCGGGGTCTGCAGCTCGGACGCTGGCCCGGCTGCTCTCGGCGAGAGGGAAGTCGAGCCGGGACGCCGGCTCCAGGCGCGCCGCGCTGCCTGGGCGCCCGGACCTCCGAGGGGCCTGCGGTCTGCGGGGATCTGTCCAGAGTCTCGCGGGGCTGGAGCGGCGACCCCGGCGGCCCGGCGTGCGCAGGACGCTGCAGGACTGGGCCCGGCTTTCGAAGCCTGGAAATGGAGCCCGCCTCGCTGCGGGTTTCCGTTCGTCTGCTTGGGCCTAGTGGCCTCGTTGCAGAAGCGGGACCCATTCCACGGCAGCGTGGGAGCTGGCGGAGCTCTCAGTGGATCAGACGCCAAGCCCCAGCGCTCCGCGAGGAGGAAGGTGGGGCCACCTACCGCGTTATGGCTGTGCTGTCACCCGGGGGCCGGGCGGAGCACGCGCGGCCTCCCTGCTCCCATCCCCCACCCGTCACAGGACGTCGCTGTCCGAACTCGGGACCGAGGGACTGGCCGTCGCTGCACAGCCGCTCTGAATGTCTGTCAGGTATTCGTAGATGCCCCTGTCGGCTGTTCCCGAGCGCGGGGCTGCGGCCTGGGTGCCCGCCCAGGCTCCCGAGCGCCGTGCCGCGTGCTGCGGCTCTTGCCGCCCTGCTGCCGGGGTAAGCGTTCCTTCTCGCTCTCCACGAGGCTGGCTCCTCCTGGAGTTGTGTCTTCAGCTGTCGCCGCGAAGAAATGCTGCCCGGTTCAGGCAGGCACTGTCAGCGCGCGCTGCCTTTGTCCTGACAGCAGTGGTCCTAACTGCAGGTTTGCTTACCTGTTTGCTGTGTCTGTCTCTCACGAGCTCCACGGGAACCGGATCCTGCTCTGTCTTCTCTGCGATCATGACACGGGCCCTGCCCTCCCCACCCCCAACCCCCAAAAAACCTCAAAGGAGAGATGAACGAGTGAAAATCCAATGTAATGAGGGCGCTTGGTTGGGCAGTTGTGAAGGGAAACAGCTGAAGAACTGCCAGTGGTGACGGGTTTCCTGGGCCCAGGCAGGCATTAAACCGTGGTGGGGAAGGCCCTTCTTACACATCTCTTGAATTTGTTACTCATTTTAGCCAGAGTTCTCTAGGGAGACAGAACCAGTAGTGTGTGTGTGTGTGTGTGTGGTGTGGTGTGTACACAAGAGGGTACTTTAGAAAGTTACTGGAAGATAGATTTAAAAGATAAGCTTATTTTGGTGCAAAAGTAATTGAAATCCATGCATAGCTGTTTGATAATGTGCATTTCCATGAAGTTTTGGAAGACTGCTGGTATATGTGTGTATATACAAATAGAAGTGTATATATACATATGGAAACACACACACACAGAGGTACTTTGAGGAATTGGCTGGGGAGATGGGGGCTGGAGATGGGACTTGCTGGCAAATTGTTAATTTGGGGGGGCAGGTTGACCAGCTGGTGACCCTGCAGCAAGGGGTCTGAGTCAGAGTCTGGAGGCAGAATTCTTTCTTGAGGGACCTCATACTTTTCTCTTCAACCCTTCAACAGGTAGGATGAGGCCCACTCGCATTATGGTTTAATAGTTTCTATTGGATTAACTATTAATAGTTTCTATTAATATTTAAATATTAAAACTATTAATAGTTTTTATTGGCTTAACTATTAATCACATCTTAAAAAATACATTCACAGCAACATTTAGGTGATGTTTTACCACAAAACTGAGTACTACGTCCTAATCAGGTTGGCACATAAAACAAACCATCACATTGTCATACCATACCTGAGGGCTCTTCTGACCCTCAGTTTCTGAACCAAATTGAAATTTGGGGATTTGTCTGTATGGATTGGGCGTGTTTTGCTTAAACCATAGCCACTTTCTCTCCACAGGAACTTGTCCTGGAGATAAGGCCGTTGTCCATTTCAGAGGAATGTCAGTTGAGTTACAGAATGATTACATAGTTTAAATTTTATACTTTTAAATTCAGTCTTGGGTTTCCCTGTTAACCAACACCTGTTCTTTACCAGTTGTGATATACAGGGGAATTCTAATTTTAATATTAGGGTAAGCAAGTGCAATTATGAAGATGATTCTCTGGCAAAACAACTAATATGTGATTTTTGACTACATGGTCTTCAAAAATCCAAAGAAATGGGCAATACCCTTTGTATATACTTTAACTTATCTCACTTTTGTTCTCACAGCAGCTCTTTGAATTTGGAATTGTTACTTCTATTTTGCAGGTATGAAGACTGAGGCCCAGAGAGCTTCAGATCTTGGACACTTCCTGCTTAGAACAAGTGACAAGGCTGGCATCATCAGCAAGGTCTTTTGAGTGCAAGCCCAATGTGCTTTCTGTTGTCCCTAAGGCCAGAGTCAATAGAGTGTGTGAGTTAATTGTGAGTCACTTATGCACACAGAATCATTGAATATCGGAGGTTTTCTTCACTCTCTTCCATTGACCTAAGAAACTAATAGTTCTCTGAGTTTTTTTTTTTTTTTTTAAATAGGGAAGACAATTTTCTGTTCTGGATCAGCAAGTACGTCTCAGGCAGAGATGAGGAGAAAAGGTTACTGAATGTTTCTTGTCTTTGTCCTCTCGGTTCCCCATGATATCATAAGACACCAGATATTCCTTAGGTAATTCTTGTTATCAAAATCTCATAAGAAACAGTCCTATTACTGTTCATGCTCAAACTTAAACCTCCAAAGGCATAAGACAAGAGATACCATAAGCAAGGTTAGGAAACAGTTATTTGTTCATAAGCAACAAAAAGATTAATATCTAGAATTTATAAGTAAATGCACAAACCAGTAAAAAAAGACAACCCAGTAGAAAAATGGCTAAAGAATATAATAGGAAGCTTGTAGTAGAGTACATGCAAACAATGGAGTATATGAAGAAAAAATATATTCAGTCTAATTAGTAAATATAAACAAAACAATGGCATGTCACTATAAATGTGACAAAAGAAAATGAAGTGGCAGGGTTGTCAGGAACCACTCACTCCTACACACTGTTATATACTGGCATAATTGCTTTGAAAGACAACATTATAGTGTTGACCAAGACTGTATATGCATATATGTCACCTTCAACTCAGCTCTTCCACTCTCACAATTTATCTAAGTATGCAAAGGTACACAGAAATAATGTGTGGAGATATGTATATATCTACATATGCATGTATATACACATATAGATATATACTATATATGTAGTTATATATAAATATGGAACATGTGTTTGTGTATATATATGCATATGCATATATATCATTTGACTCAGCAGTTTCCTAAATATGAAAAATACATATTTATGTGTGTATACATACACACATATCTTTAGGTATTAAAAGATATACACACAAATATATAAATATGTGCATACACATGTAACTATGGATTTTACAGATGTATATACATACATATATAAAGGAGTATACTTTAGTCATAGCAATTTCACGCCTACAACCTACTACAAATAACTCATATAAATATGCAAAGTTCTAGCCAGTGTATAATAGCAACAAAATGGAAGAAAGAGAAATGTTTATAAAAAGAAACTATTGTTTTAAAAATTAGGGTTCATCTATGAAACATAAGTTTGCAGCCATAAGAAAAAGAAGTGCATCTACATGATTTGAAAATGGAAGTTGTCAAAAATCCATTGCTAATTTAAAAAACAGATGACAGAATAGTATGATCCATTTATCTTCTAAATGTGTGTGTGTTGATGGAAGTATATTTACAGTTTTATGCACCTACATTTCTAGAAGGATAATTAAATTTTAGTAATAGTGATGAAAGCCCTCCCCACTTTTTTTTTCTTTATCATAAGGCTAGTGCTTGTGGATGGTCCATCTCGAATTTTCTAATGATTCCAAATAACTTACTGAGAAGAAGAGGAGGCATGCCTGACTTTTGGGCCTCAACATCTTTGGTCAGCAGAGTTGGTAAAGAGACCTAATCATTTTTTTGGAACATGAAGGATTTCAAAAATCTTTAGTACAATTTTGGAAAAATTGGGAGCACATTTGATTTCTTAAAAACTGCCTTTAAGAACTACTGAAATTTAAAGTACTACTTACTTGGTAAGGTGCTCATTGAAATTTACAAGGAATTCAAGAAAGCCCTGAATATGGGCTGACCTATGAAGCAGATATTCCAGAGGTCCTCACAGAGTCCCCATGAAGTCAAAAGTTGTCATAAAAAAACAGTGGAGTTTCCAAATGCTTCACTGATGTGGAGGCACATGAGAAACTCGATGTCTTTTAAAATATCTGTATTGGTTTTGATTTCTAATGTAAATATTTGCAGTTCACCTAAGAAAATTCAGTTACTGTATTGATGGCTTTTAAAATTGAAATAAAGATACATGTTCATTAAAAAAAATGTAGTGATTACCAATGAGTAGTGAGAACGGGGGTGTGTGGGGAGGTTTCACTGGTTTTTACTTAATGCTTTTTGCTTTCTAGACTTTTTGAACGTTTAATCTGAGTAGGAATTATTAAAATAACAGCCACAGAAATTTGGGAGCCCAAACCTAGGGACTGTAAGTCTACAGACCTGGATCTGATCAGCAAGTCTGAATTTGAAAACATTACAAGTGATTCTGACAAGGAGCCAGGGTTGAGAACTAATTCCCTCAAATGGAAGTGGTTTTAAACTTCCCTTCAAATGACTTCTAGGACGGTAGAACAAGTACTTGGGACTAAATGTGGGATGAAGTTTCATTTAATTTTTCATTAGAAAAGGGGTGGTATTAAATCTTTCTGTTTACAGTGACATTTATTTATTTATTTTTAAGACATTTATTTATTTGAAAGGTGAAGTTACAGGGTGGTGGGAGAGAGAGAATGAGAATGAGAGAAATATCTTACATCCGCTGGTTCACCCCCTAAATGGCTGTAATAGCTGGAGCTGGGCTGATCTGAGCCAGGAGCCTGGAGCTTCTTCTGGGTCTCCCATGTAGATGCAGGGGCCCAAGGACTTGGACCCCTTTCCTCTGCTTTTCCAGGTGCATTAGCAGGGAGCTAGATCTGAAGTGGAGCAGCCGGGACTTGAACCGGTGCCAGTATGGGATGCCAGCCCTGCAGGCAGCAGCTTTATCTGCTATGCTATAGCGCCTGCTCCTACAATGACATTTAACAGATCAAAAGCCAGTATGAAATTCTAGAATAGTCTTATTGTGGTAATTCTAAATATCAAAGGCAGTCCTGAGAATAAAGAGTAGTGGAGGATAATTGAATTACTTTCAAGTCATGGTTATAATTTAAAATGGTAGGTGGCATGTTGGCAGGGATACCTAGGGTCCTGAAGGGTACTTGCGTGTCTCAGAAAATTGGTGGACCTTAGGGACTTTTAGATGGACAGAGAAATGACTCCATAAAACTCTTTTTAACAGTCACCCTTAAGAACTTTGTGTTGACAATAGTCTGCTGATTTGTCTATGAGTTAGTAAACAGAATAAATTGTTTGATGTTTTATGTCTATGTATTATCTCCCATATACACATTGTAAAAATGTGTGATTACCTACAATGGCTTTGTTTGAAGCTTAGATAAAGAAAATACAGTGTAATTGTATAATTCATAAGAGGAGAGAAACCTTAAGAACACTGGATAATCCTTACATTTGTTTTGGGCCTACATTGAAACCCATGTAAACATCACTCATTCTTCGTCCTAACCTCCATTTTGTAATCCATAACTCAGTACCTAGGATACGGTGCAGAACAAGGTAAAAGCTTTTAGGAAGATCCAGTTTTCAGCTAAGACAAGAAGATGGAGAGATTTGTAAACAGGTAGAAGATAGAAGTTTAAAATGGAATTGAGTCAGGGACAGTAGCACCAACCACATCAGACTAGAGGATACTTATAATAGTGAGAGGGCAAATAGAGGGTTATTCATCTGGGGAAGAGGCCAAAGCCAAGTGTGAAAGGGAAATGAGGCATGGTTTAATTATTGTAACTGGTCTTAAAGCTCTGAGTTGAATTCTGTTGTAAAATATTTTCTGTGCCAGCATGGACTATATCAACTGGGAGTCTAGTGCCAGGGGCTTTTGAGTGGCAAAGGGATTAAAATAGGTCTTTGGGCTCCTTTATACATTTCAAATATAATGTGAAGAGCTGTGAGATGGTCAGCATGCCATCTTGGTATATTGTTTATGGTTCATTTTCCAGCAAACTCTTTGGTTTATATTTAATTCAAACTTCAAGTTAGTCAGAGTCGGTGATCATTTTTGAGGCATTCATATCATTACTGCACTTAATATATACTGCTTTCCAGTTACATACTGTTTCATTAGCAGCACTGGTATCAGAGCAAATTTTTCTTTTAGTAAGTAACTAATAGGGCCAATATATGAAAGCTGATGAGTTTCTTTAAGATGAGTATGCTATTTCTTATGTAAGGAATGATGTTAAGATCATCTCAGTAGGGAACTTAAAGGAGTAATTCTATTTACATAGATGAAATAGAGAAAAACTTGATAAAAATCAGTATAGTAAAGGGAATGAACACATTTCCATTATTGTAGGACTGGAAATAGTTAACAAACTCCATCACATATAGGCCAGCCAAGATACCTGTTGGTTTGGAATTTTACTCATGTATGAATTCAATTCAACTTTAGTAGATAGTGACCAACAGTTTTTCAAAGCGTAGCAATTGACATTCTCACCAATAACTTGAGAGAGTTCCAATTGCTGCATATACTTGGCAATATGTGGTATTGTCAGTAATCTTAATTTTAGCCATTCTGGGGATGTGTAAGGTTTTGTGATGTGGTTTTAAGTTGCCTTTCTCTGACGACTCATGGAGGTCAAATACCTTTTCATTTGCTTGTTGGACATTGGATACCATTTTGTGACATTCTTAAACCTCTTGTCAGTTTTTCCTTTTTTTAAAAATTAAAAAAAATTTTAAAGTTATACAAGTTTGATGTATTTCATATGTACAGATTTAGGGACATAGTAATACTTCCCATCCTATCTTCCCTCCCACCCATGCTCCAACCCTTCTTCCTCCTCCTTCTCCCAATCCCACTCTTAATTTTTACTGAGATCTACTTTAGGTTTATTTGATGATCCTAAAGTTACCCTACAGTAAGTAAAATAATTCAACAAATAGTATAAAGGGAAAAAAAAACACTGTTCCTCAACATAAGAGACAAGGGCTGTCTTGTCAGTTTTTCTTTGCTGTTGTCTTTTCCTCATTAATTTCTGGAAGTTCTTTCATATTTTGGTTAGGAGAACTTTTTGGATACCTGCGTTACAAATATCTTCTTCATGCTCTCTTTTCCTATTCACTGATTAATGGTGTTTTGGTGAACAGAAGGTCTTAATTTCCGCATAGCTGTCTCTTGATTTCCCTCTTCTCTTGGACCTTGGTCCTGTTTATTGCCTTGTAGCTCTTCAAGTAATATCTACAAAATAGGTTCTCCAGCTTTTCTAGATGTCCCCAGTGGAAGAACTGGGCAGAATTCCCTCAGGCAATCACCATTAATTTGTCTAGTTCTTTCTTCTGGCATTTCCATATTTTAAATACACACAACAGAATGCTACTTAACATTTTATACTGACTTTTAAATGTGGTAACTGAGCATTTAACTATCTTGCACTTGTAGCCACAGTCTCTTATCCTCCTAGTATACTTATTTACTGTATTTACTTTATGGTATAAAATTTTAAGCCACATTTATTATATCAAGACTATCTAAAATATTTACTGCAGACACGTGATTGGAAGAAGTTTTAAAGTCAGTTTAGTTTAGGGTGATGGGGATTGGGGGAAGGATTCTCTTTGAAGTTTTCAACAGCCCCAATCAATAGTCCAGATTTTCCAGAATAATCTCAATGTCAACTAAAGCAAGCTCTAGGGGTTCTTAGATTCTAGGCACTGTAGTTGTTCTTTCTATTTTGGAGTGACCCAGAAGAATCATGCTCTGTGGAATTTATGAAGTGTCTGTGGGGTAACTTTGAATTGCTGGG